GCGTACCCGGTAAAACGCCCCCCTGGCCACAGCCGTCAACTGGTCTTCCAGTGTCAGCCGTGGATCCAGGAGGACCCCCAAATTGTGTACCCTCTCCGAGGGAGCCAGAGTTTCGCCCCCTATAGTCAGCGATGGAGTCAGCTGACCATACCTGGGAGCCGGCAACCACAGCCACTCAGTCTTGGAAGGGTTGAGCCTGAGTCTGTTTCTCCCCATCCAGACCCGTACGGCCTCCAGACACTGGGCCATCACGTCAAGGGCATCATTGGGGTGGCCTGGGGTGGAAATGTATTATCACATACCCAATGTATTCCACACAACCAAATTCCTTACTTATACACTCCCTTTATCTCACACAGGCAAAAATGTAGCAGCCTCCATCTGAACATTAAAATGGTGTATTGATTTACTTCAGATGCACTATATGTAGCTTTTATATGGCTTCCCTCTATATGTTTTATATAGTGCCTTAGGGTACCCAGGCATGCTACCTGTGCGATCTTGAAGCAGCATGCCTTTTGGTGATAGGGATGGATTGTGATTAAGAGGGTGGCTGATGTTCCAGAAATTGGGTTATAAAAAAACAAATTAAGGAACAGACATCTTGGTGCATAGCATAATTTGCAAGAAGTCTTGCAATGGAAGCAAAATATGACACTGTTTTTCCTGTTTTTATTTTTAATTAAATAAAAGAAGCAAAACAAGAGCAAAAAAGGAAAAGGGATACATATGCATACACAACATTTTACACTAGAGCAAATGTTGAAAAGAAAATGTGATTGAAAAAAAAAGACTGTCAAGGACACCAAATAAATACCCAGGCAAGCAGGGAAGTGGAGGAGAACTGAAGCTGAGAATCCTTAGGTCTTGGAAGAACAGTGAATAGTTTTGCAAAGTTAATAGTGGACTAAACAGAGTTGTACTCCCACATGCTTTCCTTGGAAAAGCCATTTTTCTAGTAGGAATCAGCAGCTCCGCAAACCCCTAAAAGAGTCAAGCAGGTAGGCTTATGTGAAATTCTAGGGCAGTGATGGTGAACCTTTTAGAGACTGAGTGCCCAAACTGCAACCCAAAACCCACTTATGCATCGTTGAGTGCCGGGTGGGTGTGGCCCATTCGCTGGGCGTGGCCAGTTGGGTGGGTGTGGCCAATTGGATGGGCGAGGCTGCCGTGGTAACTAAAAAGTTCAATCAATCAATTCCAACTTTGCAAGATCTTTTTCTTCCTGCGAGAAGTTGAAATTGACTGATGATTGAACCTTTTTTTTTTTTTTTGCACACGGCAGCGGAGGCCTAAAACGAAAAGGTTTTATAAAACCCATCTGAAGGCCTAGGATTGGGGCGATGGCGCGCGTGCCCACAGAGAGGGCTCTGAGTGCCGCCTCTGGCACCCGTGCCATAGGTTCGCCACCACTGTTCTAGGGGTTTGAATTTCAAATTGAAATTTCAAAAGTGAGCAAACTGACCTGTGTTTTGAATAATGCAGATGCTCATTTTCAAATGACATCTTAGAGCAGGGGTGTCACGACGAAACCCATTGCCGGCAGTGGGGAAACAGCTCCGATACGTCCATCGCGCGACGTCACATGACGTCGTGAGTTTGACATGTCTGTCTTAAGAGGCTTTTAGTTACTCTATGGCAGAATAACAGAGTTGGAAGAGCCTAATCCTACCCCCTGCTCAAGCAATTTCCCTCTCCCCCACAATATGGGATTATGTCATTTTGTGATTGATTTTTTTTTAATTAAGAATTTGAGCCAATTCA